TCGGTCTGCCAGGCAACAGTAGTTGTTGCATTTTTCAAACATTAAGTGGGAGTGAAGTAAGTCTCTTGTAAGGGGTGACTTGCTCTTTAAAGATACATTTTGATACCAAGAACTTACTTATTTTCAAACGGGTGGAAACTTTGTTTTAAGCTTTGTGTGAAAGTAAGTCCAGGACTACAAATGTGCATCACAAAAGTGACGTCATCGAACCAGACACAGAAAAAAAAACAAAGGGAAAATGGCTGTAAGTTTAGTGAACTTAAAATCTTTCCTTCAGGAGGAAAGAACCATCATAAATCTGGCCATTTGGTAAGTAGTAGATACGCTAGGGGAGAAGAGATTCTGTGGTGATGTCATATTTGTGACGTGCTGATGTCTAATTTGTAGTCATGCTAATTACAAACTTTTACTAGCTGATAAATCTCAAAGTACATGACTGACGTGGTCGAAACACCCATCATTAGTTTTCATTTAAATAGCGGTACAACATATATGTGATCCAGGGCGTAAGTCAAAGCAGATTAGAAAATAGCGTTTTTAGCCCCGTTGACTCGCAATCATTTTTTGTTCTTCCGGGGACCCATGAGCCAACCAGAAAGAGAGGAGAGTTAGGCTCCCTATAAGCGGAGAAGCTTCAATGTCCAAGAGGAGCTTGGACTAGAGCTGCTGCGCCTCCAGCAACAGCTCTTGCTTGCCTATGATAGATGTTTTTTTGCTAATTTAGCGATGTCACAAATGGGAACTTTTTGAGGCAGGCACGTAATTCCTAAAACCAAGCATTGACAGAAAACAGACAGGTTTTTTTCCACATTTGGAGTGTTTACTGAGGCAGTGGAGACATGGAGGCAGCACAAAAGGATGCACAAATGTGAGTTTCGCCCCTTTTGTCCTATTTAAAGCATGTGTTAAACCTAATAGGGAAAAAACTAAATCAAAGGATCTAAAAATGGGGATTTTTGATCATTGTTAGCTTACATTGGCCTAATACGAATATTTTTATCGCTGAGTTTTGTTTTGATAAGTGTTTCCAATCAACAAACAATAGATTTCACCAAAATAATTAATCGGTTCCTTTATTCAAAGAGATTTTTCCACCAAAGTAGAAATTTGTCTATGTCCATATTCCCCAGAGTAAGGTAAGCAGGGGAAAAAAAGCATTTTGTAACCAGTGCGGTAATTGTCCTGGTCTGGCAGCAGTCCATTAGCTTTAGCTTAGCTTAAACAATGAAAATGAATAGTAGAAACTAGCATTTTGTGTGCAAATGTGATTAAAATTACTCAATAATGGTGATACCAATTACTCCTGGTGAATTCAATAAGGACGTTGACTGCAAATGAAAAGAAGAAATAACATGAAGGATTTCCAGGAGCCGATTTAAACAGGGGACTACCTTACGACAAAGCACAAATGTAAACCTCCACTGCATGGCGCATGGATATAACAAGCAGTGCAAAAGGCCACCAGCAGCTGAAAAAAACGGCAGTTCCATCCATATTTTGTGAAGAATCAAAAGGAAGTGCATCAGTGCTAACAGTCTTTCATTTAATCTAATGTATTGGGTGTTGCTGGGCTAGGATAAATTACTATAAGCTAATTGTAGCTAATGCATGTGTGTTTGTTTATGGAAGCTGGAGGCTTTTTCGACCACTGTGTTATATCCATGCGCCATGCTTACAGCAGTGCTTAGTTGTAATGTAGTTCCTGGAAATACTTCTTACTTTTCATTTGCATGATTATTAAGCTCACCAGGAATTATTGAGTAATTGTAATCGCTTTTGCACACAAAATGCTAGTTTATGCTATTCACTTCCATTGTTTATGCTAAGCTAAAGCAGACAGACTGCTGCCAGACCAAGGGGGAATAACTGCGCTGGTTACAGAATGCTTTTTTTTCTAACGCATTTAACTCCGGGGAATACGGAAATGGACAAAATTTCACTTAGGGGGAGAATATCTCTTTAAAGGAAAAAGCTATTCAAAACAAAATTATGTGAAACAGTATTTCCTTGATTTATTGTAATTATGGTTTACCTTTGATTAACCAAAATCACTGATTGGAAAGCTGGGTTCAGGTACATTAGCCACACTCAGACTTGGTTACTGCCAGACCTCTAAAATCAAGAAATTAATTCAATGGATCTCAGCTGCAACTTCAAGGCTAGACAAACTCAAAGACCATGGCATATCTTGTTCCAAAGATATCCGAGCATTAAAAGAACCTAGAAAAAAACATCTGAAGCTCTACAGGCCTCACCTGGTTCAGGTCAAGAGAGATTATCTAAAATCTTAAGGTTGGCCATTGCCATCCACCATCACCACTCAGTGGCAGCACTGTTTAAATCAAAATTAAGTTTGGAGCATCATTCAAACAAAAAGCATGGATTCAATTCTCACAATATTAACCCACAAGCAAAATGCACAAACTGAAAAAATATTAATAAATGCTTTCAAAAGCTGACAATATTTAAAGTTTAAAAAGATGACCTCATAATAACTCCTGGCAGAAGAAGATAGAATCTGATTTCAGCAGCTGTAGGCAACAAAAACAACAGACTGGAAGACCTGTGTGTCTTTATCTGGATTTTACTTGTCATATGCTGACATGGTGTTTTACAATTTTCAATTCAAGTGGAGAAAAAAGACATAAATAACATTAGGTACCTCAAATGTTCACCAGTTATCTTTGCATAAAGCCAAAACAAAAAATAATCACAATAAATAAATGGTAAATGGCCTGTATTTGATATAGCACCTTCTAGAGTCCTGGGACCTCCCAAGGCACTTTACAACACAATCAGTCATTCACCCATTCACACACACATTCACACACTGGTGGGGATGAGCTACAATGTAGCCACAGCTGCCCTGGGGCGCACTGACAGAGGCGAGGCTGCCGAGCACTGGCGCCACCGGTTCCTCCGACCGAATATGAGGCCAAATCTGTTTTATTCTTAACATTTTTGGTAACAGATAAAGACTATTAAGCCCTTATGCCCATACCGAGTTTTTACCAAATTAATATGCACTTAAATCAATAGAAGAATCTACACAAACTCTTTAAAGGAGACTAGGTGGTTTTGGCTTGCTTTTAGCACCCCCTAGTGTCCGTTTTGGAGAACCAAAACCAAACAATGTCCCCGTTGTACGTTCATCTTTTTAACACCTTACTCTAACCGCTGAAACTTCTCCCAGCCTTCCTTGAGTGTCTACAGGAGTGATTCATCACTAAAATAAGCAAATCAGCTGTGTTCATGATTTAAGACATGAAGGAAATGTGCTGGAACCAGACTGCAGCACCAGGTATGTCAGCTCAATTTTTTCCAAGTCCCAACAGATCGGACCGGCAAATGTGAAGCTGCAAGTAAGATATTCTGGCCACAGGGACGATAGGGGCTAGGGGGCACTTCATTAACCCTGTAAAGGGTGATTTTAGTGCCAGGGGCACCCCCAGACATTTTTCATAAGGGTGGCCAGATGAGGCAAAAGAACATTTTTTGGGGTGGCACACATAATTTGGTCCTTGTGGTAACTCTGGGAGAGTTTAGTTAACACTTGTCTTCCCTTGGGGGGGGGGGGGGGGGGGGGGGGGGCAGCAATTTTCTAGGGGTGGCAACTCCTTAAGCCTAATTTATACTTCTCCGTCTGTGCACGCAACGAGGGCTCTCCTACAGGCTCGCAAGGACGGATAGAGTCGAGCACTCTTTTCTAAACAGTCGTCGGTCGAGACGGAGAGCGCAAGCTTGTGACTGGTCAGGATGCCGTTGTCGTCTACAGCGCCGCCATTGTGCCCTCAAAAACCTAAAGAGAGTCGAGGATATCTAGTAACAGACACGGAGAAGCTTGAACAATACCTCGTGGAAAAACTCTGAAAAATATGAACATTTTACCCCCCCGTGACTGGAGGAGTGAAAAAATACGCAGCAAGCGTTTTATTCTAGGGAAATAACGGGAAACGTGGGTTTAGAGGTGGTGAGTGCGTGAAGAGGAGGAGGAGGATGAGTGGTAAATTTGTTCGTGTTAAAAAGTCTTTTAAATACAAAAAACACATATAAACACACCATCTTGGACTGGATACATGGCAGGATACCACAGAAAAGCGCTATGCCCTCTGTTGTCCTGGTGGGGAATTGCTTTGCAACACTCCCCAGGAGACGGAGAAGTTTGAGGACAAATTGTCTTTGTCTGTCCATGCGTGTCTCTCCCTCATGGAGCTGATGAAGAAGTATAAATTAGGCTTTAGGGCACCACTGTTTAAGACATACTGGCTCAAGAAAACGATTTACAAATATAAAAAAGTTGCAAAATATCCCTTTAACCAATCAAACCCCATGTGCTCGTGTTTAATTTATCTTATTTTATAAAACAATTACAAATGATGTGCAAATATTGTTCCGAAGATTTAAAAAATTGAAGCGTTTTAGTATAGTTTTGTTTAAAGAAGCCATACACAGAGAGAAAACAAAAATGTGCTGAGAAACAAAAATATGAGCTTTCTTTGGAAAATTTTGAATGATAAAATAATTTTCCTGAATCTGTTTGGCATTGAACAGGCACCCTTTGCTTAATCACATTCCTTAAATTTACTTGCATCTTTGTGATGCATTAACTATTGCAGCTGATGGTTAAAAATGAGGACAGCAATTCTGACTTGTGATACATTACCAACGGTAACCAGTAGATTAAATAGCTGGCTGTAACTCTGCTGGGCTGTTTAATTAGTAAACCAAAGAAGAAATCAAACTGAAGGCTATATCAATGGTTGGGAGAAATGTTGGCACAATAGTGCATAGTGTGTCTTACTACCTGATGTTTAGTGCATATCATAGGACAGAATGAACAATAAAGCAGTTTGTTCAAACACAAAAAAATCAGTTTACTGCAAGAAAACAAGAAGGAAAAGATCAACATTTTGTTTTTTTTATATGAATTTGCTATGAAACCCTGACGAAATCCAATGATGAGAGTTGATCTCAGCCGAGATCAAACCTGTGACACGTACCTGAAGAGATGGAGGCCAAGCGGGAAACGTCTGGCTGCCTGTTGGGAGCTACAGGTTCATATGGAGATGAGTCCTCCATGTCTCCACCTGAAACAACAGTAAGGATGAAAACAGTTTATTATCCCAAGCAGACAGTTCCCATCATGTGGGGATACAGTTTGGATAAAGTCAACTAAATAAAACAGAGACAACTTTAAATTGTTATTCCATCTCAGTTACATTAGAAGTAAAAGTTTTTATTGCTAGATTACACTGATGCTCTGGATTGAGGGATGTATTTAGTCTTTTATTAAGAAGCTGCCCCACAGTTTTTAAGCACAAGTTCACTCGTTTTCATTCCAATACATTTGCAGTGGTCTCTATATGGTCTCTGTGGAAAAAAAGCTCTGGCGCTCCTGTTTCAGGAAGTAGAAGTTGGCCAAGACATGACAACATAGATGCCCCATTGGACACTGAAGAGCATAACAGCTCCACACTCTCCAAACCCAACTGGAGTCTGAGCAGAGTGAGTACCGCATTTTCCGGAGTATAAGTCGCACCAGCCATAAAATGTATAAAGAAGAAGAAAAAAACATATATAAGTCGCACTGGACAATAAGTGGGGGGAAATGTTATTATTTTTCTTACAAAATCTGAGACCAAGCATTTCACATAGCAAAAGTACCGGTAACAATAACAGAATAAACAATCAGGATGCAGCAGCGCACCACGGTCTCCAGCAGAGGATAGTGGTGCTCCAAACCCTCCCAGCGGGTGCGGAGAGCACCCGCAGCACCCCGCCACAAGCTGCAGCAGGTGATGACGGTGCTTGAAACTTTCCCAGCAGGGCAGAGGAGCTGAAACCTGGACCGGAGCCGGCCCGCAGCAGCGCGCAAAGGTCTCCAGCGGGTGATGGCGGGACAGGGGAGCTCATTCCTGGTCCGGAGTCGGCCTGCGGCAGCGCGATATACATAATTTGGTATATAAGTCACTTTGGTATATAAGTCACAGGACGAGCCAGACTATGAAAAAGTGTGACTTTAAGTCCAGAAAATATGGTAACTATGTTTGTTTTAGTGCAGCCTGCGACTGCAACAACCAGCATACTATTGAAAAATGATCACATGAGATTGCCATTGAATGTTCTAGCCTGCCTGTTGGGATTTTATATTTTAATTTATTTTGTTTAATTATATTTATATTTTAACTATCATGCCATACTTTATGTCTGATTTTGTGGAAAAGCATAATAAAATGTGTTTTTAGCTGAGTAAGCACCTTCCTCAGTAGATATAAATGCACTGCGGGGAAATTGGGACCCATCCAAGATGGCGGCCAGCCACTGCAGCAGCTTCACTAGTCAGCGCCAGTCCATGGGTTGTCTAAGTGTATGATTTCAGTGCAGAAGACAACAGAATTTGGAGTCTTATTTCCTGATATTCTGACATCTAGTTGGCTAACATGAACACAACACTACCACTGACTCTGTTAGCTCTGCAACGTTGATGGAAGAAGGAGTTCTGCCATATTATAGAGTTTCTAATGCTAACAGTCAACTTCTACTAGATGAGGCGTGCACTGCTCTCTCCAGGATGCTAAATCAACAACAGACTTCCTCGCCGTGAGCCAAGTAGGGTGAGAACATGAATGCAAATTTTTTTGTGGGATGTACAGTTAACTGGCTTTTTCTAATCTGAGCATTTCACCATCTATTTTTATTGGCAGCTAATTCAGGAAATAGGGGTAGAAAACAATTTTCACATTTAGTCTTCATGTTAAACTCAGAGTCACCGATCGTATTTCAAAAACAGCTGGTAAAAAACGGTTTATCAGTGAACTTGGCCTTTAAGGTTTTGATAGAACATTTTCTAACAAAGATAAAATATTCCTTTCTCACTCTGCTGAAAGATCTCTTTAACAGCAACTGATTTTAGGAGAAAACGTCTGCCTATTTAGGAGCAGACCTCAGAGGTCAGTCAGAGTTTAAAGGTAGGGAGGCTAAACAATTGTACACAAGAGTTTGTTTTATGTCATCAGCCTTCTATAAATTTAAGCAGTTGACTGAACAAAATATTTGTAGCACCAAGCAGAGTTGAGTTGCTATTGCTTTTGCATTTCTAATGATCTAAGACATGCTGGATCTAAGACACTCAAATAAGATATAAAAGGAAATGTGTTTTTCTTCCTAATGTTTCTTTGCAATGTAACATTAAGCTCCAATGCCACATTAAGCATATCTTACTTCTATTATATATATATATATTATATATATATATATATATATATATATATATATATATATATATATATATATATATATATATATGATTAAATCATTTTCTGTTGGAGAACCCATTTGTACCCGCTGTGGTTTGAGCTGGGGAACAACTGACATACTAAAGTACAAGCAATTCATCTTCCCTGCTAACAATGTGTTGTAGAAGCAGTTTGTAAAAAAAAAAAAAAAAAGCAAATTAGCACTGAACTGACTGGGTCTCCCCCATGTGCCCGCTCCTTTGTGGGCTCTAATCCCACATTTAAAATTCATAGCCATTCGGTGTGATTGAGACAAACCCTCCAGTGTGCAATAGCTTTGCTTTCTGATCCTAACAAACACAGTCAGGGTGTTGTGGGGATGACTCTGAGGTTCGCTGTAAGCAAGAAATAAGAAAATCTGAAATCTGTAGCAACAAGACTGCACTTCCAGGACAACCTTCCAGGAGATCTAATCAATAGATGCGGTACAATTTATCAGCATGCTGCTTGGAAGTTTGCAAACAAGCAATAGAGCTCAAAAAGAAATGAAAGCTGAATGAACATCATCTACGTGCTGCGACTGTGTTATTGAAGGTGTATTTGTATGTATGGATCTGATAGTTTGTGGAGGCAACAATCATTTTTAAAGAGACTCCCTCACTGAAGGACAACATGGATATCTGAGTCAGATCATTAGAAAAAAATACATTTCTTTAGTAAACAAGATGAAGAAGCTGGGAAGATTTAGCAACTTAAAATGCAAAAAGCAAAACACAAAACAAGACAGGGTTTGTGTAAATCTCTAGGTAGAATAGAAATGCAGGAAAAAGTCCACAAGAGTAAAATGGACAAGATGAAAGAGGCAAAGAACTGTAAGTCACAACAGGTGGAGGAAACCTCCAAAGCTAAGATGCTCTGGCCTGGGCCCAAAAACAGCTATGAGTCCAAATGTCTTGTCTTCTGGCTGAGCTGCCACAGACAACATGAACAGCAGACAGCATGATGGCGGCAGCCGTCTGGATGCTGGCCAATAAGAGGAGGCAGTGGCACCAGGAGAAGTCTAGACTCATTTAATCACAAACTGAAGAAGGAAAAACTCAGATGGTGCAAACATCTTTGTTTAATTTATACAAACATCAATTAATGATGAGTTTATATATATATATATATATATATATATATATATATATATATATATATATATATATATATATATAGGGAGTGCAGAATTATTAGGCAAGTTGTATTTATGAGGAATAATTTTATTATTGAACAACAACCATCTTCTCAATGAACCCAAACAACTCATTAATATCAAAGCTGAATGTTTTTAGAAGTAGTCCTTAGTTTGTTTTTAGTTTGAGCTATTTTAGGGGGATATCTGTGTGTGCAGGTGACTATTACTGTGCATAATCATTAGGCAACTTCACAAAAAAATATATATATACCCATTTCAATTATTTATTTTTACCAGTGAAACCAATATAACATCTCCACATTCCCAAATATACATTTCTGACATTCAAAAACAATACAAAAACAAATCAGCGACCTATATAGCCACCTTTCTTTGCAAGGACACTCAAAAGCCTGCCATCCATGGATTCTGTCAGTGTTTTGATCTGTTCACCATCAACATTGCGCGCAGCAGCAACCACAGCCTCCCAGACACTGTTCAGAGAGGTGTACTGTTTTCCCTCCTTGTAAATCTCACATGTGATGATGGACCACAGGTTCTCAATGGGGTTCAGATCAGGTGAACAAGGAGGCCATGTCATTAGTTTTTCTTCTTTTTTACCCTTTCTTGCCAACCACGCTGTGGAGTATTTGGACACGTGTGATGGAGCATTGTCCTGCATGAAAATCATGTTTTTCTTGAAGGATGCAGACTTCTTCCTGTACCACTGCTTGAAGAAGGTGTCTTCCAGAAACTGGCAGTAGGACTGGGAGTTGAGCTTGACTCCATCCTCAACCTGAAAAGGCCCCGCAAGCTCATCTTTGATTATACCAGCCCAAACCAGTACTCCACCTCCACCTTGCTGGCGTCTGAGTTGGACTGGAGCTCTCTGTCCTTTACCATTCCAGCCACGGGCCCATCCATCTGGCCCATCAAGACTCACTCTCATTTCATCAGTCCATAAAACCTTAGAAAAATCAGTCTTGAGATATTTCTTGGCCCAGTCTTGACGTTTCAGCTTGTGTGTCTTGTTCAGTGGTGGTCGTCTTTCAGCCTTTCTTACCTTGGCCATGTCTCTGAGTATTGTGCTTTTGGGCACTCCAGTGATGTTGCAGCTCTGAAATATGGCCAAACTGGTGGCAAGTGGCATCTTGGCAGCTGCACGCTTGACGTTTCTCAGTTCATGGGCAGTTATTTAGCACCTTGGTTTGTCCACACTCTTCTTGCGACCCTGTTGACGATTTTGAATGAAACACTTGATTGTTCGATGATCACGCTTCAGAAGCTTTGCAATTTTAAGACTGCTGCATCCCTCTGCAAGATATCTCACTATTATTGACCTTTCTGAGCCTGTCAAGCCCTTGTTTTGACCCATTTTGCCAAAGGAAAGGAAGTTGCCTAATAATTATGCACACCTGATATAGGGTGTTGATGTCATTAGACCACACCCCTTCTCATTACAGAGATGTACATCACCTAATATGCTTAATTGGTAGTAGGCTTTCGAGCCTATACAGCTTGGAGTAAGACAACATGCATGAAGAGGATGATGTGGACAAAATACTCATTTGCCTAATAATTCTGCACTCCCTGTATATATATATATATATATATATATATATATATATATATATATAAATAAGAAAGTTTGATCAATTACTTAGGAAAAAATGAT